TATTCCTTTCAACCCTTTGAAGTGATTAACATTTAACTTCTCCTTACAATCATACTCTTGAATCAAACATTAAGGTCACGTGAATAAAGGAAATGATCACAACCTGATGAAGCTCTAACTACTAAGTGTACTCGAAGATGAAGACTCTTTCATTGAGGTTCGCAAAATCATCTCTAAGCTAAATTAAAATGTCAAGTAGTAGTAGAAGTAGGGGGAAGGGGAGAGAGAGAAACAAACAAACAAGCAAAATATTATCTATTAAATCACATTCTTCTCTTACTTTTCTTTTTATTTTACTAATTTTGATAGTAATAAGCTAACGATAGACTGTTGCTATTGACGGACTGGCCCGCCTAGAATAACATAGCTATATGCGGGCCAGTCCAACTTTAAATGTATGTTTTTATGTAGTAACAACAATTATAAATAAATGATGATGATGATGAGCTCTTGATTGTTTATTTTATAGATACCGATGAAATTTCCACATAAAACAACTTCTTTTTTATTCATTATCAAAATAGCAAAATAATGCAATTTGAGTAGTCACCTGTCGAAAATGCTTCTCACAAAAATGCTATGAAACTCGGATAAAAAGTTATAAAGGAGAAATAAAGACAATAATACTTATATTTTCTGTTTCACAAGTTCAACATTCTAGTGAAGAAGAGAAAAAATCTGTAATAAGTCTCTTGTAATTGGCTTATCATGTTAGTAACTATGGCGACACCAATATCCTCACACGTAAAAGATAAAAATAGTATCTTCACTGAGCGCGATGAAGATATGAGTTCTTAGTAAAGGAAAAATCCTGGTATTTCATCAGTATCTATATAATAAATAAAGTTGAATTGTAAGATTTTGATTTTGATGCTCGAAAACAAACTTTTCCCGTTTCTCAGAGTGTTCCTTCCGAAATGGGATTAGCGGTTAAAACTCAGTAGAAGAGATGGTCCATGATATGGACGTTTTAAACAACTTGCTGCTTGTGAGGAAAAAAATAGCAGTGTTATTTTAAAAATAAGCCTAAACTCACTGTGCTGTGGGATGACACGAAAAACAATCAAGCGGCTTCCTTGATACAACAAAAGGCTGAATGAAACAATGACGAGCTATAGGCGGTTTGCAACCAATCCCTAGAGACACAGGTAACTGTGGTGCCATGTGGTGCGATGTGGTAACTGTGGTGACACAGGTAACTGTGGTGATTGGTCAGCGGATGTTGGTCAAGAGGGTTGTGATTTTTGAGCTCCGCTTAGTATGTGTGAGAGCCTATACAGTGTCTGTTTAGGTAGCCCGCCTAGAATAGCTTTGCTAACTGCGGGCTACAAAAGCCTTTATTTCTTTCATTTTAAAAAATAAAATCAATGTTGTTGTGCCAAGACGATTTGATTTTCAGTTCTCAACTGAGTTGATAATGTGAATTGGCCATTGTAAATAGTTTCTTAACTCTTCATGATGGGCGGCGAGGGCTAACGCTCTTTTGAAAGTTAGCCGTCTGTCAGAGCGAAGAAACTATGTACGGTGTCCCATTTACCTCATCAGCTTAGTCGATGAAACCCAATTAATAGCAGTCTCATTGAAATGTATGAAAACGATCCTCGCAGTAATGAATCCTACTTATGTAGTTGTGGAAATGTGACATGAAAAAAATTCAGGCCTCTACAGGATTTGAACCCATGACCTTTGTCTGGTGACAATTCTTGCAATATTGCTCATCGTTAACGTTTTCCTCTTTCTCTTTGTTGTAGTCTCGAGAAGTAGACAGGAAAAATCCCAAAGCGGTGAAAAAAGCAAATATGTATTATTTCATTGAATCAGGTAATAAATTCCCCTAATTCGATGGTTTATATCATTGATTTATATTATCAACCACGGAATAAGGGACATCAATATTCCACCATCATTTCATTTTTTTAGTCATGGAATACATCTTACGGCATTGTCCGAGAATCGTATCAAGGCGTGCACGAAAGATGAATACCATGTCAATATCCTTAGTAACAGCTGTCATATCAACCAATCTCACGCAAGACTGAAACAATCGTGACTTTTGTAGCCGCGTTTTCCCGCGCTTTTAACAGTTTTAACACTAGTTCTCTTTCGTTCATTATGATTTTAGCCTTTGCACTGGGTTTTCTTTTTCGAAAAGGTCTTTAGTTTTGCTTATGATAAGTTTCTAAGGTGATAGAAGTGTTCCACACCAACGAGATCACCGCAGGACCAAAAACCTCTCAATCAATCAAATTACCTTAGTTTTGGTTTTTGAGGCTGTATACATGTACAAGCTCACAATCAAAACAATTCCAGTCCTGGATTAATTTCAACACTGTTTCAGTCCGACTTCCAGCCATTGCACTGTTCGTGTCATTAATCATCAACATAGTTGTGGTCGCAGTATTTGTTAGAGTAAGGCTATTTGCTTTTACCAGTGGATGTTCCAGAAATTGATGAAAAACAGTACCAAGTAATCCTCGTTTTACGTCCCTACGGAATTGCGCAAGAAGGGCTCAAAAAATTTAGGCAATTGCACAAGCAAAAGAAAAGCAAAACACTATAAGAAAGGGAAAGAGGCAGCAGATGTTGTGGATGTGTCATTTTTTCTTTTTTTCATTTGTAGGCATTTTATAAAAGGACGTATGGAGAGGTGGTAAGTCAGATTTTCTTAGCACATTCACAGGTCAACATTCACAGGTCAACCCTACACACCCCAGCATCAGTACTCATATTCTCCATACTGTTCTCTATACATTTTCTAAGGTGCTGACAAGGAGAGCTTGTTTAACAATCAAGAGCTTCTTTAGTTTCCGATCATTTCCTTTATTCGTGTGACCTTAAAGTTTCATTTTGGAATGGTATTGTAAGGAGAAATTAGATGCTGGTCACTCTTCGTCTAACTGAGAAATTTTTCTATTGTTACTCGGCAGCAGCAGTTGGTTGAAACTAAAGCTATGAACAAAAGCTGAGTTAACCAAGATAAACAAATTATAAACAGAAAAAAGAGTACAATCCAAGCGAAATGGAAAAAATATCTACAGTGACAACTGCAATAGCGAATAAGTGGAATATTTCTAAAACAGAGAACTGAGCCGAGCGCGACTGTGGATAAACTGACTTAAAAAAGCGATCATGCGTAAAAAGAAACTGGCTTATTTCAAAAGGGGCGCAAAATAGCGTGTTGTATGAGAAACGTGCAAAAAAGGTGTAACTGACGAGGAAAAACGCTACCAAACTCACTTATCGCTCGTTTTTACCTGTAAACTTACAAAAAGTACGAACAAAGAAGTTATGAAAACGTAAAACAAGAAATAAGTACGAATTACACTAAAAATAATTAGCAAACGCGTATCCCTTTCATTGCCAAGATCTCAGTGATAATTCTCCATACTGTCTGTATTGCAACTCTTATGGTGTTAGTTTGGAGAATTTGGTATTTGATCAACTTTGTTGGGGGGGAGGNNNATTCTTTTTTTCCTATTTAGGAGAAAGGAGAGTTCGTTTTCAAGTTTAATAAGAATGCGAATGGAAAGGGCCTGACAAAATGATAATGATGATGGCTTCGTGATTTATTATATTAAGTTTATTTTGCGCTTGGGTTCACCTTCATGGATTTCATCAAGGTATGGAAATGGTGTTTTGATATTCCATTCAATAGAAAGTTAACTATTTTTTCAAGATTGACTGCAGTAAATTTCTGGAATTAAACGATCGTCAATTTTTATGTTTATAAGATATTTTAAACACTAGCCTCAAATCACTGATTACTTATCTGGAATTTCATGAGCGCGTACGTTCAATTGGCCAGCAGCACGCCGTAAAATGTGGGTAGGCACTTGGTGAAATCCTTCATACATGCATCAATACATAATTAAGAAGATGTGGGAATACATGGTCATTCGCAGACATTAACATACATTAAGGATCACACCAAGTACATACCAAATGTGTTACTTTCGTAAGCTTTTGATAAGAACTGCTTCTGTTTATGTGCCATTTTGTTTGTTTTCAGCATTTAAAAAGAAAGGTTATACACATGTAAAACACCTCGACTTACTGGCGAGTGTGTTTGGTTAGCTCTTTAGGGGCAACCTGGTTATAGCAGCCCGAAAACATGCGCCAAGAGTTGCGCCTTGCCATGACAGCGTTCGCACATGCGCTGACGTTTGACTGGTTTGCTTTCCCTCCCCCCTTCCCGAGTGTCGCTCATTGTGTAAAAGATACGCTTAGTTCAACATGTAGGATTTGTAAATGAACGACGATATTTATCAAGAAATAGGTAGAAAAAAAGAGCACCCGTGAAACTGTGATTTGTTTTTATTTTGTTTCTGGCAGTTTTTTTTTTTACATGTGTATAACCTTTCTGAAAAGACTTGATTCATGTTATTTCATGATGAAGCTAGGCAATTATTTTTTTAAGATTAAAAGTAAGAGAGAGATTTTGTAGACCATGTTAGGTAGTGTTATAAATGATATGAACAGCTTTAGGACAAACAATGAAAAAACGAATACGTATTTGAATGGTGAATAGGGGTATTTTTTTAACTAAGTAACAGAACGGACAAAATTACCGACAAGTGTTGCCTTGCAATTGAATCCTTCTACCGGTCCTTGATCGGGAAGACTACAGTAAGAAGATCCGTTCTTAGTAAGAACGATTTAGCTGTCAAGACAAGGTGAAATGTGTTTTGTTAATAAATTCTAATGCATGCTGAATAAAAGCTATTCACGAAAGAGCTCAAAATGTTCAAACTGCAATACCTTTGGGACTTCTTCTTTGGGACGCCTATCCGAAAGCGGAAAGGGAGGGGTGGGGGGCACAAGTTCTGTTTTAGAAAAATGTTCAATTTATGTAAAGTTAGTAGATGGATACCTCTGTGTTGAATAAAGGAACGTTCCACTCTCCTCAAGCAAAATTGGGTGAACGCTAAATATACAGATATTTTTAAAGGGCTCAAGAGAGTTGGTTTTCATTCTTCAGAAACATTTGCATTTTCATTTACCATTCTGCCGTGGAAAGAACACCATTGATTTGGGAACACCTTCATTCAGGGAAAACAAGTTTGATCCCGGAGAAATGTCAATAAAACGTTTGTATTTGTTAGTCTATCGAAACGACACTTCTGT